CAAAGGGCTCGAAGCAAAGCGGCACAAGGTGGTGCGCAGCAACTCCGCAGCAAGCGGAGAGCTGCTTGCTTCACACACGAATTAACCCTGTTCTGTTTATTTTCTCTCTTCTTAAATTTAAATTTAACTCATACATTTAATTAAATATTCAAATGCATGAAAACATTCCTTCATATTTGCAGGTTTTCTCCCGTTTCTTAAGAACGCCAATCCAATCTCCATCCTCATCGATTTCTTGTGCGCGCCCTTGTATGGGTCTCAAGTTATCTGTTAATTGCTGAGTGTAATAACAAGAAAAACTAAATATAAAATCTAATTTACGCTGATTCATTTAATAGTACTAATATATACTAATTAAATAAACCCTAAGTCTTGTATTCTCAAGCAGAGTTAGCAAGACAGAGACATACATAGACCATCCAATCGAAAAGGTGTGCAGTGATTGCATACGTTTTCTTTTCACTAAGAATACGTCTATTAAAGCAAATATATAAATTAATATTTACTTAAATATATTTATATTATATTTATTAGTATTAATAAACTGTTAATACTATGTTTACTACTGGTATAACCGCGGAAAAGAGAGCACGCGTTTACAGTAACATTTTAAACTTTATATAGATGTCCTGTCTCCCTCTCAAACAACAATATTAATATGATAATTTAAAATTTAAACCTTTAGTTTGTTATAAACTATTTTATATTTGTGTCTGTCTCGCTCCCTCTCTCCTTGTCAGTGAGACAGAGAGGCGCAGTTTCTACGATGGATGTTTGTATCTTCATACTAATAATAATTATTAATTAAAATAGTAATAATAATAAATAATAATAGAAATTATTATTATTAGTAAAACTAATAGAACTTATTATCATAATATATTATATGTACGGTATAATAGATACTACTATGGTGTAGTTAAACTAGAAAAACATAATTACTACGATGTTATCTGTTTGCTGTCTCCTTTTGTCTCTTTTTGTGTACATCTTCAAAATGCTTTATTTTAAAGCGAGTTATTAAATGTTTAATCTGCAACAAAAGCCATTGAAAACAACGAAAGGGTCCCCGGTCCCCTTTCGTTTCAGTGTAGGGTTTTGCTGTCGCTTCTGCCGGGGAAGGGTTTAGGGTTTAGGGTTTAGGGTTTAGGGCTTGTGGGTGAGAAGACAGCGTGCAAGTTCTTCTTCAGAGACTGAAGTAATCTCACAGCTGCGTACTCTGCTAGACACTCGAAGGCCGCCTGCTGCAGCATGCCAATCATAGAGAGCAAAAGCAATAGGAGAAGTATTAACAGCTAAGCCAAGATGAATTGCTGTCTCCCCGTCTACAACTCTGTCTCTTTCTTCTGTCTCCTTTCCTGCTGCTGCACCCGCTCCTGCTGCTGTCTCCTGCAGCTGTCTCCTCCTTCGCGACATCAAAGGCCAGCCCTCAGCTTCAATAAAGGGAGAGAAGGTTTGCTGCAAGCTGTATTCAAAACTAAACTTAGGCTCTGTTGTTGCTGCTGCTGCTGCTGCTGCAGCAGCAGCAGCAGAGCTGCTGGGTGCCCAGGGGCCCACGAATCCATATAAAGGCAAACTGAATTGCACATAATCTTTCAAGGCTATGCGGAGACTCTTTTTTTGTTTTTGTTTGTCTAACTGCGCCTCTCCTTCTTCTTCTTGTCCCTTTTCTTCTTCTTCTTCTCTCTGCTGCTTCTCTGCTGCAGCACCACCAAACACCAAGGCCCCAATAGCAGGGTTATTCCCGTGAATAGGAGACAAAGAAGGGGCCCCCAGCAACACTGCTGCTCCTGCTGCTTCTGATGAAGAGGCATCTGCTGCTGCTGCTGCTCCTGCTGCTGCTGCTGCTGCAAAGGGGACATCTGTCTCCTCTTCCTTTGGTAATAAAGCCCTCAAACGCCCAAAGTGAATATGGCCGAAGGCCTCCACCAAGTGAACGTCTGAGAAGCGAGTCACTAAAGAACGGTACCTGCACACAAACCCTAAACCCTAAACCCTAAACCCTAAACCTTAAACCCTAAACCTTAAACCCTAAATCCTAAACCCTAAACCCTAAAAGCTACACCTTAGACCTGACGCAAGACCCTAACCGTAAACACCAAACCCCAGATATACCCAGACACGAAACACAGACCCTAAACCCTAAACCCTAAACCCTAACACAAACCACAAACCCTAAACCCTAACTCTAAATCAGCAAGAACGGTATCCATAATCCATTGAGAATGAAGAAGCTGCGGCCTCTTAAGGGCCCCACAAGGGCCCACAAGGGCCCCTCAGACACCCGTCAGGGCCCCCAAAGAGCCCCCAGGGGCCCCCACAAGGGCCCCCAAGGGGCCCCTAGAAGGGCCGCCAAGGGGCCCCCACAAGGGCCCCCAAGGGGCCCCCACAATGGCCCCCAAGGAGCCCTACAAGGGCCCCTTGAGGGGCCCCCCGCGTGGAAAGGGCCCCTTGCCAATGGGGCAACTCAGTTAGAAAGCCCCTTCTTGAAGGGTTTAGGGTTTAGGGTTTAGAGTTTAGTGTCTAGGGTTTAGGGTTTAGGGCCCCCTTTACCTTTCGGTGTACTGCGGCTGCCACAAGCTCATCTGAGAGAAACCCAAACCCAGGTGGGAGTCGAAGCCGGGAGGGATGTGCCCTGCTATAACCACCTGCAGTGTACGTACAGTCCACAAACCCTAAACCCTAAACCCTAAACCCTTAACCCTAAACCCTAAACCCTAAACCCTAAAGAGGCAAGCAGTGGAAGAGACCTACTTGCTGCCCTCTCTCTCGCGCCTCCTGCAGCTGCTGCTCCATCCATTCAAACTGTCCAGCTGTACATACACGCAAAGGACTGCAGAACCCTAAACCCTAAACCCTAATCCCTAAACCCTAAACTCTGGGCCCTGAAGCAAGTGTAAATGCGCCTGGCTGGGGCAGTGTGGACGAGTAGGTCTAGGGTTTAGGGTTTAGGGTTTATAATACCTGGGTCTATCTCTTCTTGAGAGAGCCCTGTCTCTTCTGTCTCCTGGTTGTTGAAGCCATATGCGTCAGATTGCTGCTCTTCTGCTGCGTTGTCTGTCTCTCCTTGTGCCTGCTGCTGCTGCTGCTGCTGCTGTTGCTGCTGCTGCTGGCGTAGCTGCTGCAGCTTCTTCCGCGCCTCCGCAGCATATAGAAGGGTATTTAAACACAAAACCTTCACGTTAGGCCGAACCCAAAGCGAAGTAGAGTAATACAAACCCCGAGTGAAGGTCTGAGGATACAAGTGCACAAAACTGCTGCTGGTGCTGGTGCTGGTGCTGGTGCTGCTGTTGCTGAAGCTGGCTCTGCTGTCGCTGCCTCGGCTCGTGGTGGCCGTGCTGCTGCTGCTGCTGCTGCTGCGGCAGCAGCAACAGCAGCAGTTAAGGGGTTTATCGGCGCCTTCTGTTTGACTCCTGGCCGCGCATCTGCAAGGCTTAGGGTTTAGGGTTTAGGGTTTAGGGTTTAGGGTTTGGCTTACCTCCTTGGCCTCGGGGGGCAGCGCCTTTCCCCACAAATCCCAGAGGAAGTAAATCCAGTCGGAGTTTTCTTTAGGAATTATATAATCAATCGGCATGTCGTTGTTACCAGCCACCAGCAGCAGCTGCATGCACTGTTGCTGCTGCTGCTGCTGCTGCTGCCGCTGTACATCGGCGGAGGCTCCTCCAGCTGCTGCTGCAGCTGCTACTTCGCTGCATGGCTGCGGAAAATGTTCAAACAAAAGGCGGGTCCACTGACGCAACGCCTCCTTCCTGCAGCAGCAGCAACAGCAACAGCAGCAGCAGCAGCAGCAACAACAGCAACAACAGCAGCAGGTTTACGGTCAAAACCACAGCAGCAGCTGCAGCAGGGAAATAACATCCCAAGGGGGCATAATGGTTTAGGGTTTAGGGTTTAGGGTTTAGGGCTTAGCGCACCTATTTTCCAGTTGCGAGTCCGGGTAATGAGCGGCATAATCCCCCGTCAGCAGCAACGCAGCAACGGGAGGCAGCGTATACACCCCAGTTGCAGCAGCAGGTGCTGCAGCAGCAGCAGGAGATGCTGCAGGCGCCCCTGATCCAGCAGACACAGCTGCAGCAGAAATAAAAACACCACAGTCTCACCTTGAGGTGCTTCATGAGCAGTCAGAGTGTGCTGCTGCTGCTGTTGCTGCCAGCAGCAACGAAGGTGCTTCGTTGGCCCCTCACGCAGTAGTAGCAGCAGCAACAGCAGCAGCAACAGCAGCATCGACAAGGCTAGCAGCAATAGGAGCAGCAGAAATAGCAGCAATGGAAGTTGCAAGCGCAGCAGCAGGAACGGCAGCAGCAGCAGCAAGAGCAGCAGCAGCAACAGCAACAGCAGCAGCAGCAGCAAATAAGATGTACCTGGAGCTGAAAGAGCAGCAGCAAAGTTTAATGCCTTCTTCACCAAGGCAGGAGGAGAGTCGCAGCCAGCACGGCCCAGCTCCGGGTTCGTCTCTGCTGCTTCTGCTTCTGCTGCTGCTGCTGCTGCTGCTGCGCTGCGACGTCGCCAGTCACGGTGATTTAAACCCCAACGCCTTCTCCTGCGCTGCTGCTGCTGCTGCTGCCGTTGGCCACGGCGTCTCCTCCTTTGCTTCTGCTGCTGCTGCCGGGGATAGGTGCTGTGAACGTGCTGCTGCTGCTGCTGCTGCTGGCGCTGCTTTTGCTGCTGTCTGTCCCTCGACAGCAAAAGAGCCATCAATCTGCGGCTGCGCATAAGCAGCACAGGGCTCTGAAATGGTTGCCGGGGGGAAGCAACAGCAGCAGCAACAGCAGCAGCAGCGGCTGCTGCTGCTGCAGCAACAGCACCACGTGGCTTGCGCACGTGGCAGAAGTTCGAGACGCGACCCTTGGGGTCATATAAAGGGTCTAAATGAATGTCTGTCAACCAAAGCAGCGAGAACGCGTCGCTGTGCTGCTGCTGTCGCTCCTGCTGCTCCTGCTGCTGCTGCTCCTGTTGCTGCAGCTGGCGCTCCCGCTGTTCTTGCGGCCCCTGATTGTACCCGTCGGGCTGCTGGGTGGCCGCCAATGCTGCTTCTACTGCTGTGGCTGACTCTGCTGCGGCACTCGCAGCAGCAGCAGCAGCAGCTGCTGCTGCTGCTGCTGCTGTGGCTGCTGCTGCTTCTGCCTGGGGATCTGTTGGTTGTGGAAGGACCGCTGCAGGCGCTAGACAGACAAACAGCAGCAAACTTGAAAGACTCAAAGTCCCTCCGCCAAAGGCGGAGAAACGCATTTTCTGCTGCTGCCGCTGCTGCTGCGGTTGCTGTTGCTGCTGCTGTCGCTGCCGCTGTTTTGTTGGTGCTGCTCTTGTTGCTGCTGGCTGCTATTGTTGCAGCTGCCTTCCTGGTTCTTCCGTTGCAGGCGAAGCAGCAGATGCTGCTGTCTGCCTATAAGGAACGGCGTTATTCCCGTTGTTGGTGCTGCAGCTGCCCGCCTGCTGCTGCTGCTGCAGCTGTTGCTGCTGCTGTTGCTGCTGCCTTCCTGATTATCCGGCTGCTGCCAAGGGGTTTACTTCTTGAGTTTGTATTTATTTTTTCATTTTAAAGTTAAAAGGAATAAGTTAAAAAGAGGAAGAAGTGCAGCAAAGCCCTGAACCCCGGGTTAGCGGCTGTGGCTGCTTGGGTCGCCTACAGCAGAAGATGGAGAAGAAGGTTTTTTTTCTGTCTTTTTCTCTTAAATTAATTTAAATTTAAATGAAATAAATAACAAGAGGGGAATATATGTATCTTCTGCAGCAGAGACGAATCATGCACACACACGTCGAGCTCCAGGGGGGCCCCGGGGCCCCCGGGTTGTTGTTGTTGTTGCTGCTGCTGCTGCTGCTGTTGCTGCCGTTGCTGCACACGCTGTGTTGTTTATTAGAGTGATTCGCCTTTTACACTGAAGACGCGCCAGTGAAAACAACTCGCCACTCGCCGAACAGAACACTCAAACAGAACCTGCAGCAAATACCTCGAAAGACAGGCAGCAACAGCAGCAGCAGCTGCAGCTGCAGCTGCAGCAGCAACAACACAGAGGCTTCCTACAAGCCCTCCTGCAGCACAAGCTCGGGATCGGGATCGGGATCGGGATCGAGACCGGGATCGTGTTGGCACTCGCCCCAGACGCCGCTGCGAGGCGCACCCATCGCTGCAGCAGCAGCAGCAGTTGCTGCTGCTGCTGCAGCAACTGTGGCAGCTAATACTGTTGCAACAGTATCTGCATCATCATCGGCGGCTACCTCAGGAGCGGCAGGACCTGAAGAGACAGCTGCAGTAGTAGCTACAGCAGTAGCTGCAGCAGTAGCTGTAGGAGCAGCTGCAGCAGCATCTACAGAAGCAACAGCTGCAGAGGCTACTCTGGCAACGAGTTCAGCAACAGCTGCTGCAGCAGCAGCACCTGTAGGGGCAGCAGCAGCAGCAACAACAGCTGACGACAGCAAATGCGCGCAGCCCCGGAAGCTGCTTGGACTGCCTTTCGCTGCTTCAGGGGGCCCTTGCTGCTGCATAGGGAGCGCAGCAGCAGCAGCAGCAGCTGCTGCTGCAGCTTCCAGCAGCAAGCTCTGCCCTACCGCTGGCGCCCTGCACCTTGCAGCAGCAGCAACGGGAGCAGCAGCACCAGCAGCAGCATCAAGGGGAGCAGCAGCAGCAGCAGCAGCAGCAAGATTTGTCGGAAGCATGACGGGGTGTACCCGTCGTTATTTTGCTGCAGCTCTTCGCCTTCCTTTGGCCTCCCCCTGACTTCTTTTGGTTGGCGTTCTGCAGCATTTGTTGATTTGTCTGTCTCCGATGCGTTGCAGTCTCAAGTTCGTGCGGCAACTACATCTAAAAAGCAGCAGCAGCAGCAGCAGCAGCAGCAGCAGAAGCAGCAGCAGCAGCAACAGCAGCAGCAGCAGCAGGGATTAAGCGAAGCGCTCTGCTCGGCTTTGCCTGAAGGCGTTTCTTGTCCGCCAGACTACGCGGGAGCAGCACCCAGCAGCAGCAGCAGCAGCAACAACAACAACGACAGCAGCAGCAGCAACAACGGCGACAGCAGCAGCAGCAGCAGCAGCAGCAACGACTTTCTACCAGCCTGGGCCCTTCGCTCCGCTGCTCCTGCAGCAGAAGTTCTTTTTCTGAGGGTTTTGCCTCTCGCGCCGCTGCTGGTCTTGAGTGTGGGGGTGCATGCGTTACCTCGTAAACCCTAAACCCTAAACCCTAAATCCTAAATCCTAAACCCTGGAGGGCAGTAGCTTGAGGGCTTTTGTTAGGCGGGGCGTTCAGGTGCTGCTGCTGCATCGCGTAGCAGTTTATCTGCATTTTTTTGTGTCTCTGTTTGCTTCTCTCTTTGTTTGTCTCTTCGCCTTGTCTTCTTCTGTCTCCCTCCACTGTCTCTGTCTCTGTCTCTGCCTCTGTTTTTGTTTGTTTTTGTTTGTTTTTGTTTGTTTTTGTTTGTTTTTGTTTGTTTTTGTTTGGTTCCCTATACTTCTTTCCTCCTTTCTGTCTCCTTTCGGTGTGTCCTATCTGTCGTTTGCTGCTGCGGTTGCTGTCTGCTGCTGCTGCTGTTTGCTGCTGCTGCTGCTGCTGCTGCTTCTGCAGCCATGGGTCTGCCTCTCTTGGCTCGCGACTGTCTCTCTGGTCTCATCGCCTACGCTGCCGCTCTCTTAACTGCAAATGTAAACAACACAAATACCCATAGACGGCCCCCTATAGGGGGCCCCATAGGGCCCCGTATAGGGCCCCGTATAGGGCCCCTATAGGGCTTCCTAAAGCCCCCTTGAGGTCCCCCTAGGGCCTCCTAGGGCCCCCTATAGGGCCCCCTGTAGGGGCCCCTAGGGGCCCCTCGGGGCCGTGTAGGAGTTCGTTGATGGCTGCGAAAGGCCATGGGTTTCAGGGAGCGTGTTGATTTGAGTGCATGCGAGGGTTTAGGGTTTAGGGTTTAGGGTTTAGGGTTTAAGGTTTTGATGTCCCTTTGTTTCAGGCGGCTGTACACGTAGGCCTTCAACTGGCGGAAGTGGGGTTCCCCCCACAGGTAACCTAAACCCTAAACCCTAAACCCTAAACCCTAAACCCTAAGCACTTGGATTCCGTTCATGCGCTTTTTCTTTGACCCAAGAGTCTTGGAGCTGAGGCCTTCATATGCGAATGGAGCTTCTCTAGGGTTTAGGGTTTAGGGTTTAGGGTTGAAGGTTTAGTGCTTAGGGTTTAGGGTTTAGGGTTTATGCGCAGCGCCAGCATCGGGGGTTTTACAATGTGGGCCGTCTCGGTCTCTCTCTCTTTTTCGTAGTTCATTCAGTCCTCATTTGCGGTCAGATTCTTTAGGCCCTAAACCCTAAACCCTAAACCCTAAACCCTAAGTTGTGCACAATCTCACCTGCTGTGTATCTCCATACATTTTAAGGAAATGCCAACATACATGCATTTGTAGCTGCCTGTGTCTGTGTTGTGTTATCTATTTATATTTTTCAGGACTTGTACATCAAGAGCCGCTGCATGCGCTCTATCTAAGTGCTGCTTCTTTTTTGGGGCTGCTTGGCGTTGATTTGCTCTGCACAAGAAAAGGCTGTCTCCCTCTATGGTAAATAATGCATGCATGCATGCATGCATGCATGCATTTGCATGCGGTGTTGTGTGGTTTATTTGGGGCTTTTTCACTTGCACTGTGAGGGAATATGTAGAATAAAGAGGCATTTGCATGGATTGAAGGCTGAGAGATATTTGCTGCTGTTCGTTTAGGGTGTACATACACCTCAAGTTCTATAAAAAGGAGAATATGCTGCTGCTGTGTATTATTCTTTTTTTAGGTTTCTTGCTGAGCGAAGGCGTTTCTGTCTCTGGGTTATTGGGGGTGAGGCTTTTGTTTGTGTTTGGTGTTTGGCTGTCTCTACTTGGTGTTTGTTTGTCTCTCTCTCTGCCTCTCATTTGATTTGCTGCAACTCTCTCTGTCTTTATTTTGTTTTATATTTCTTTTTTATATGTTTCCTTTTGATGTTTTAATGTTTACTTCCGTCTGCATCATTTTTCTCTTTTTTTTTGTCTCTTCTGCATTTTGCTGTCTCTTTCTGTCTCTCCCTCTGATATTTGTTTTGTTTTCATTATATCTCTGATGCTGTCTCCTTTTGCTGTTGCATGCAGCACTCTCCATTGCTGCTCTAAGCGAACAACAAACCCTGGAGACGCAGCCGCCACGTTCGGTCTTGGGCTAAGGCCTGCGAGGTGTCTCCTCGCGCTCTTCACTGTCTCCTTTGGCTCCTACGAGCCCTTAATATATA